GACTCTCGGTGGTCTTCTTGGTGGGGGTCCTGTGACCTGGGCACAACACTTTGACCCAACATACATGTTCTCAGCCTGAACATAACATAGCTGCCCTTATTTCCATCTGCGGGAAAAATCAATCTGTGAGAAACAAGGGCCATTGAAGTGTAGAGGAATTCCTTAGTCCTGAGCCCCAGGAGAATGTCCAGAACTGTGACTGCAGACCTAGGAAAGATCCAGAAACATGAAGAAAGAAATATGCTTCCTTTCTGAGAGGTCTGTCTTCAGCAGGGACTTTCTCTCATCTCTCATTGCTGGAAATCAGCTCCCCATCACCACTGTCACAAGGGTGAAATTTTTTGTTTTTGTTTTTGGCCAGTCCTGGTGCTGGAACTCAGGACCTGGGCACTGTTCCTGAGCATCTTTTGCTCAAGGCTAGCTAGCACTGTACCACTTGAGCCACAGCACTACTTACAGCTTTTTCTGTGTATGTGGTACTGCGGAACTGAACCCAGGGCTTCATGCATGCTAGGCAAGCACTCTACCAATAAGCCATATTCCCAGTCCAAGGGTGAATTTTTTTTTTTTTTTTTTGCCGGTTGTAGACCTGAACTCTGGGCCTGGGAGCTGTCCCTCATCTCTTCAGCTCAAGGTGAGCGCTCTGCCGCTTGAGCCACAGCGACACTTCTGGCTTTTTCTGTGGTGCTGAGGAATCAAACCCAGGGCCTCATGCATGCAAGGCAAGCACTCTACCACTGAGCCACCTCCCCAGCCCGAAATTTTTGTCTTCTATTTCCATATGATTGATACCCACTGGTGTCAGCAAATGAGATCCCAGGCTGGCTAAGTATCTTGCATGGTGCTACTTCGCATTACTATGGTAGAGCACACTTCTAGCTAGGACTTGAAGCCCCCATTGGGACAAGGCCTCAGACCTGGCCCCTTGACCACCTGTTTTTCCCTCCCCACCTCATAACATCCACCCCAACTCCAAGAAGAACAAGGATAGTAACAATTTCCATGATGGGCAGGGTGGACCAACGAGGAAGCTCTAGGAACAGAAAGGAAGGAAAGGGGAGGGACCTTGACTCCTAGCTCCAGATTGCTCCTGCTTTCCATAGGCTCTGTGCCCACACCCCTCTCTTTTACCCCATGTCAGGATGAGGGGCTCAGGCAGTCCCTCATGCTGCACATGGAATGTGTATCTCTGCTTCTCTCCACAACTGCCCACTTCTGAAAGGTTCCATCTCCTGCAGGCCTAGTATCTACCAGCTCCATGTCCTGGGTCTAGTCCTTTCGATCTCTCTGCCAGGAGAGCGTGATCTCTGATGGGTAGAAATCCAGGGCCCAGCACTTCAGGGTGACCTCATGGTCAGAGAGGGAGTGGTGGGTTATGTGTGTCTCTGAGAGATGGGGGGGAGGGGGGATCCAGAATCCAAGGGGGAAATCCAGAAATTCAGATACTTTAGTAACCCATTGTCTCCCACCCACGAACCACTGCAGCAGCACCATGTGACCACCCTAAGAATGGATTGGACAATTGGGTTAAGGAGCAATTATAAGAGCCAGGTTTTGATCATCTCTTGTTCCTTGTTAAGATCCTGAATGGGACTGGGAATGGGGCTTAGTGGTAGAGTGCTTGCCTAGCATGCACGAAGCCCTGAGTTCAATTCCTCAGTACCACATACACAGATAAAGCTGGAACTGGTGTTGTGGCTCAAGTGGTATAGTGCTAGCCTTGAACAAAAGAATCTCAAGGACAGTGCCAAGGCCCCGAGTTCAAGCGTGTGTGTATACACACACACACACACACACACACACACACACACACACACACACACACACATGCCCAAAGGGCCTGGTAGTCAGTTACTTTGGTTACCTCCAGGTATCTGAGGAGCCAGAGCTACTCCACTCTTCCCCTACTGCCTCTCACTTGTCCCGGGTCATCTGAGCAGGCAGGTTTGCTGCAGTCCAGGAGAGCAGGTCCTCATTCAGAAACAGCTAATCCTGGCCCGCGTAGGCGTACTGACGGTACCTACCGAGGAAGTGCCCATTTGTCTCTGCTTCCCAACCATATATCATAGTCAGTGTGATGTGAGGCTCAGGCCAGGTCCTTGCAGTCAGCCACGCCCATCATTGCCCCACTCCGCGGCCATCCCCCGGCAGGCACCGCCCACCCCCGTAGGCCACGCCCACACACCACCGCCCCTCCCAGAAGCCCCTCCCGTTCGCCCCGCCTGCTGCCAGCCCCGCCCACGACCCCGCCCCGATGGTAAGCACCGCCCAGCTCGGCTGGGGGAATTCGGCTGTGAATGAAAATGAAAGCCTGGGTGGGCGTTCCGACGGACTCTTCAGGCCAAGCCTGAAGTCTAGGTTTGAACCTGGAAACTCTGAGTGATTCTGGTCAGGTCCGTGGGTCGGGGGCCATGGAGAGATCAGACTCCCGACCCAGCACAGAGTGACTCACGGAACTCGCTGTGGTTGTCGTAGCCCCACAGGTTCCGCGGGTTCCTTCGGTAGGACCGGGCGCTGACCGTGGGCCGCCGCCTGGTCCGCTCCCAGTACG